TCCGTTGTCGTCAGTCGTCGTCAACTTCACAATTTCAACTTCTTCTTTGAAACCGCAAGTCAGAGTGTTTTCAAATTTGATATGCCTTGGATGGTTCTTTCTCAGATTTTTTCATTTTATGTCAAAATCTCAAATTCTCTATTTTTGGGTGATTATTTTTGTCATTTTTGGTAAAAAGTGATATTTTCAACTTCTTGTTAAAAACAGCAATTCCGATTGCTTTTATATTACATATATAGGTACTACATGTGGACCTCTCCCAGATTTGTTTATTTTGTGATGATATCTTTAATTCTCTAATTTTGATGAATATTTTTGTAATTTTTGGTAAAAAGTGATATTTTCGAATTCTTGTTGAAAACAACAAGTCCGATTGCTTTGATACTATACATATTGTTCATTTTCTAATGATATCTTCAGTTCTTTAATTGAAATGTGCTTTGCTAACAGCAGAGCTATCTCAGCCGAGAGGCTGCTTGTTTAAAAACTTTGGATGATAGAGTGTAAGCATATTTTAATCATTTCCATTGTTCCAAAATACATGTGCAAATTAGCCACAATGTAAAGCATTTACTTTGAGATGGTTCTCTTAAAGTTTCTGTCAGATTCTAAAGAGAAGTTGAGTGTTTCTGGTCGATTTGCATGCACATTATGTTTGTTTTTATTTTGAAATTTTCATGAAACATTTACTACTTTTATTTTGATTTTTCATGAAAAATTATTTTTTCTGCCATTTTTACTAAAATTCTGACAAAATAAATCTGATGTACGTGATAATCAAAGACACAAAGCAAATGAACAAATTTGAATCCAGAAAAAAAATAAGTTATGACCAAAAATTATTTATCATATACAATGTATGCAAAGAATCTGGAAATAAAAATCCCAAAACATAAAAAAAATCAAACTGCACATATTGTTACAACACGTCACATGCTAGCGAAATTAAAAAACTTTAAAACATGGTTTTAGAGAAAAAGTCAAAAGACAAAATGACATCTAGCATTTACGAACAATGAGTTTAAATTTATTCATGCAAAAAAGAAACTGAAAATTGACAATTGCAACGATTGCTATTCAAAAATACTCGTTAACATTATGCTAATTATGTCGTTGTGTGCCAGGCAGTGGTAAGCTTAATACTCTATGTAACATGTATTGTCAGCTCAGTAAGGGTCATTTGCAGGGCAATAAAAACAGTCAACAACATTTGAAATTGTTTTATTTCTTTCGCTAATCAGTCAATCAAATTTTGATTTTAATTTATTTTTGGTATTTGTATTCTATGTATTATGTGATTTGATTTACTGTATCCACAAATTAGTCAGGCATGTAATAAAATTATTATATTATTATTATTAACAATCAATTTAAATTTATTCATGCAGGAAGGAAACTGAAAATCAACAATGACACATGTTTAAATTTTGTGGTGGTCATCGCACACAATCAAATTGTGTGGCGGTCATTGTGGAAATTCAAATTGCGTGGCGGTCATTGTGGATATTCAAATTGTGTGGTGGTCACTGTGGAAATTCAAATTGTGTGGTGGTCATTGTGGAAATTCAAATTGTGTGGTGGTCACTGTGGAAATTCAAATTGTGTGGTGGTCATTGTGGAAATTCAAATTGTGTGGTGGTCATTGTGGAAATTCAAATTGTGTAGTGGTCATTGTGGAAATTTAAATTATGTGGTGGTCATTGCACACATTGAAATTGTGTGGTGGTCATTGTGAAAATTCAAATTGTGTGGTGGTCATTGTGGAAATTCAAATTGTGTGGTGGTCATTGTGGAAATTCAAATTGTGTGGTGATCATTGTGGAAATTCAAATTGTGTGGTGGTCAATGTGGAAATTCAAATTGTGTGGTGGTCAATGTGGAAAATCAAATTTTGCAGCGGTTGTCAAGAACATTACAATTTTGTGGTGGTCATTGCTAACTTTCAAATTTTGTGGTAATCGTTGTAGACATTAACATTTGTTGATAAAAAGAAATGTATTTTTCATGTATACATCGCATAAGACACATACATACCATACACAACACTCAGTGACATCTGTCACCCTTTACCCCTTAATCAACATATTATTAAAACTTTATCGGTAAGATTCAGTCATGAAATATTCACACTTTAATGTTTTTCACACATACTTTGCAGACAATCTATGAAATTCGCAAGCACAAATTATATGCTTTTAGTATACTGTCTGTTTCCATGACAACTGATTCATTTTTTTTTTCACCTTTGTCCTTCTGATCTCATAAATACAATATTTATCGCTCAAGCTAAATCTCTGTATCAAATTGATTTCATTTTTCAAAATTGATCAAAGTTTGACAGCAAATTCCAACATGTGTTCCATTGGCTGCTTCTTGCATTGACACATTGGTGTTTGTTTCAGTTCATTTTTAGCTTATTTTCAGTTTGTTATTTGTTTATGTTTTTCTTAGCGAGCTGAATTACAATAACTTTACATACCCGCTAATTACACTGCACCATCAATGGATGCTGTATGGTAAGGATACAGATCAGACTAAGGGATATATATAAAATATAGATACACAATTAGGTTTTTTAAATTGTGTTTTTTAAGTATTTTGCAAGTGCAGTACTACTATTTAATATGCAAGTGAATATTAAATTTCGGTTAGCTGTATTACACATTTTTAATTTACAGTCTTCTAAAAGCATATTAATTTCTTTCTTGAGTGAAGAAGTTAGACTTACAGTAACAGTTAGAATCTATCTTAATTACCGGTAGAAAAGTTCATGTATTTTCATGTATTTAACAGTGTTTATTGGTTCAATAGTAGCCAATCAGGGTGAGCTAACCATTCATGTTACTTCCTTCCATTTTATTATTTTTTTATTTCTGTGTTATAGTTTTGTTCAGTCTAATTTTGAAAATCAAAATAACTAATTTTCCTCTACAAAACGGATCTTTGACTATATATAGAACTTTGACATTTTAAATTGTCATAAACGTAAGAATCATATTTTGGTATAAACAGCTTAATACACTGTTTCTTTGACATTTTACGTATTCAGAAATGCCCCGGGGGAAGTGCAGAGAATCATGTACTTCGCATGGCACAGAACAGAATCTCCTCACTACCTACCTGATCTTTCCATCAATGGAACACATACATGTACCGGTACATGTACTGCCCATGGACTCATCATTATCAATGTGGCAATTATTAAATTCATTGTTTGAAAAATTAATTTAAATAGGTTTTTCCAGTCTCTACTGAAAAATGTGTATGAGGTTTTATTTATATATAGCAGGGGATTACCTCCTAGAACTGCCTATGATTTTTGAGAAGGACTTTAAAGTACAATATATTTTCATATTCTCATTTGAATTCAATCTGTATGTCATAAAAATGCTAAAATGGAATTCCTAGCTACTGAAAGTGACAAACATAAATATTTGAAATTAATTACTAATGAAAACAGAAAACATATAATATCATCCTTATCATATACTATATATGAGTGAGATAATGTTAAAGAATTTACATAATTTGAAAAACCTAGCTAGTAAAATACTATTAATATTGTGAATGATAACAAAATCACTGCATCATACAACCTTGAGTTTCAATCCTATGATTGACTGAATTAGGTCGAGGTAATGTAGGTATAAGTTTCCATCTTCGACCTTTTTAGAAAATTGAGCAGCATGCATAACCGCATTAAAAAAAATATAAAGTTACAATATATTACAAACACATAAAACATTTTACGTTTTTGTCAGTAAAAGAAAAGATGCCGTGAGAGATTGCATTGTCATAACAAATAAAGAGTACCAAATTTGTACAAAAACCAGCACTTTTTGAATCGTGCACATCAAATGGACAATAAATAATACTGTAAGCAAATTTGTGTCTCAAAGAAACCTGAAAACTAACAATGCAACCCAAACACTCTGAAAGATAAAAGTAACACATCGAATTGTAGAG